TGCCTGCTTCTTGGGAGAAAAGCGATGACAAACCTCGACAGCATCTTAAAAAGCAGAGACATCACCTTGCCAACAAAAGTCCAAATAGTCAAAGCTATGGTTTTTCCTATTGTGATGTATGGAAGTGAGACCTGGACCATAAAGAAAGCAGACCGCCGAAGAATTGATGCCTTTGAATTGTGGTGCTGGAGGAGGCTCTTGAGAGTCCCCTGGACTGCAAGGAGAACAAACCTATCAATTTCTAAAGGAAATCAACCCTGAGTGCTCACTGGAAGGACAGATCCTGAAGCTGAGGCTCCAGTACTTTGGCCATCTCATGAGAAGAGAAGACTCTTTCGAAAAGACCTTGATGTTTGGAAAGTGTGATGGCAAGAGGAGAAGGGGACGACCGAGGATGAGATGGCTGGACAGTGTCTGTGAAGCAACCAACATGAAACTGACACAACTACGGGAAGCAGTGGAAGATAGGAGGGCCTGGCGTGCTCTGGTCTCACGAAGAGTCGGAAACGACTAAACGAACGAACAAGCATCTAGTGAAAAGGTTAATAATGCTTTCCCTTAGATCCAGAGAAAGAAAAAAGAAGAACAGGTGTATCTATTGCTGTAATAGCCTGAGACATGAAAGAAAAAAAGAAACCAGACTATTAAAGAAACAGGTACATGCATGGCTGCATTGCATTGTAAGAAAAAATATCCAACCCTTCCTTCCTCCCACCATCCATCTCTCCTTCCTCCCTTCTTTGCATCCCACTGAAACTGATGTGATAAAGTAACCACTATGTAGGCATCAGTGATTGCAGCAAAGAACCAGGAGACCTAACTGTCTGGTCCACACCAGAATACTTAAATGGAAAGAAAGAAAAACACTGGGATGCTTACTTGAATAATTCCACTGTATATTACAAAGAAAGATACTAGCAACTTCACAGTGCTAAGCAATTTGGAAAGACAGAGAAATGTTCTACTTGCAGCCCCTACGTAGATGGATGGGATAAGGTACCCTTTGCCACTCAGGCTGCCCTTGAAATCTACCCCTTTCTCAGAAGTTCCCCCATAAAGGGGTTCCCATGTGCTTTTCCCCATTTGGGTTTCTTTTCCCCTCTTTTGGTTTAGTGCACACAGAGAAAAATTCTAGCTGTGCTTGTTTCCCTTATTGTCTTTAGCTTCATCCTTGCTGTGTTTCATATGTTGCCAATTTCTTTATCTTACCTTATCTTGTAGGTTCATTTCATTCTTGCATCATTGGCAGCCAAATGCACTCCAGTCTGAGATTACACAAGCCACGTTTTCTTTCCTAGCCCCTTGTGTGCATTCATGCACATTATCTGTGTCTTAAGGTGTTTTCCAATGCTGACTGAATAGCTCTGCGAGTATCTGGCTAATCTGGCTGGGAGCTGGATTTCCCACTGTTAACTTTGGTCAAGCTGTGCAATCCGAGAACACCCCTAAAATAAGGGCATGGTGAATCACTCCTGAGTACTTTGTACCTAGAAAACCCTGGAAAGGGACATTGCAACTCAGAATTGACCTAACATGCTTTTTTAAAAAAAGTGTCAGGGGCTGCAGATGGGCATCCCTGTATTTCACACAATTATCTCCACTCTTCCAGCTTGAAAAAAATGCTTGCAATTAAAAAAGGTACTTCACAGGTCCCTTTCACAATGAAGTAATGAGCTGAAATATTTTTTAAAAAAGTCTATATAATGGGCCCCAGGAAACATGGCCTCCCCCTACATGGCCTCTTTATGAATCACAAATGCAGGTGGGGGTGCATTGCCCACCCCTGCCTTTCCTTATCCTGCTCATCTCTTCGTCCTCACTTAAAACACCAACCTGGATGACAACACAAGTTTCTGCTTAGGGGTGGGACTTTCAGAGTAACTCAAATGGAGAAAAAGACAACATAGACACTTCTTCATTTTTGGAGTACAGTATTTCTTGGCTTTCCTATAGCTTCTCAAATAAGTTGGATTTAGAGGATAACAAACTTATGGTATTTCATTCAGTTGTCCTCATTCATAAGGCCATTAGTCTGGTGAAGAACGACCGTGGGATCTGGTGCTGAATCTCTTTCTAGTCTGTTCTCTTTCCTGCTGGCGATGCTGACTATGATGGGATGAAATTTGCCAAATGCACACACCTGATGATTTCCATTTGTTTCTCTTGCCCTTTTGTACTTCCTGCTTTGGGAGCAGATGCCTGTTCCTTGACTCTGATTCTCTGGAGTAGGTTTGAAGGTGCTGTAGGGCTTATCTTGGTCCAGAGCATGGGACGTTAACGAGGAAAACTGAGATTAAGGCACATGAAAAATGTGGAGCCTTTGGGTTTACTAAAAGGACCCCAAACCCAAAGAGGACCCCCCTCCCCCCCAAAAAAGAACTGGCAACAAAAGCAAGCCGAAGGTTTTCCTGCTCCACATCCCTCGTCCTGCTCACCTTCTTCCTGGGCAAGTAGAGCGCGTCGTGGCATCCAACCAAGGGATGGGAGGTGTGCTGGAGAAGAGGCTCCCCAGGAGGGTTGGCCCTGAGCACAAACCCATGTGGTTTATTTATTTATTTCGCATGGCCTTTAAAAGTCAAGCCATAGTAATGGATTTGGGGTTCCTGTCCTCGTAGCCAGCACAGGATATATTTTTCTTTCTGCTGTACCTGAATGTACTTCACTCTTTTCTGTGGTGCTTCTACATAGGAAAGTTTAGGCTTGGATTGCAAGATGAATGGGCTGCTTTTCCGCAGCAACAAAACATGTAGATCCAAAACAGCTCGTCTGCCATTCAACATCGACATAATACATTTTTAATGTTAGTCATTTCTTGTAAAAGTACATGATAAAAATTTAAAGAGAATAATGAGCAGTCGAGGCTGTGATGCCAATGACATTCTCTGCAGAATCTGTGGAGCTTTCAGTTGAGTGTTCATGACTGTTTCCACAATGAGTGAAATCACTGTATAACGTGTTTGTCCTCTTTCTTGACATGTTTTTCGAACACGTGCCTCTTAAAATGAAGTCCTTGATGTCTATCTGAACAAGAACAGGGATCAGGAGGAACTGCGCTTCAGAAACCTGGAAGGTAAGGGGAGTGTGAAATATGGGAGGGAGAATACAACTGCACAGTGATGGTGTGAAGGAATCGGATCCAGGGATGAAGGAAATATTAGTTACTCTACATTTTGGATAAGGTCTGTAGATGGGCACCACCTAGAAAACTGGTTCGTTATGGTTCAGGGCTTTTAAAAAAAAGTTTGTGCAGGGAAACTATTAGAGCCAGCAAGCCAGCTTCCCTTCTCAGAGCCAGTGCACATGTGCTCGCTGCTCAGGCGATAGGTGGACACATGCGTAGAAGTTGCAGGAAGGGAAATTGGCCCACTGCCCCTGACGGTGGTGGCGATGGTGGCAAAGGCAGCAGGGGCAAGGGCAGGTCGGTGGAGGTGACAAGGGCAGTGGTAAGGAGCAGGTGGGCATCCATTTTGCTGAAACAAATGAAATGCCAAAGAGAAAAAAGTTTGGGGCTTTCTTTTGCTTTGCCAAAATAGGATTCCTGCACTGGGTTGCAAACCGAACCAGGAACCAGTCCAATTTGTCAGGTTTTGTGGTTCATGGTTCGGTTTGTGCTCATCTGTCATAAGGTCTCTTTTTCTAGACTTTGACTACCCTCTAGTGGATTGAGAGAGGAGTGCAGTAACTCCAACTCTTCTTAAATCCAAGGAAGCTGCTGTAGGGAAGCCCGGCCTAGACCATCCCGTAGCCCTTGCTTGCCTTCAGGGGCAGCCCCTTGATCTTTGGGCCACTCCAGAGGAACTCGGCTGTAACCTCAGAGATAATTGTGACTGTTCTTCATTGGACTGAAGGCCTTGGGCAACCCTTTCGGGCTAGGAAAGCTTGGCCTTCCGATTTCAACTCTGTGTGGCTCTTTATCTGGACCAGGGGTCTTTTTTCAGCTGAAGTGGGTTGGTATGCTTTTTTGTTGTTATGCGGGTGGTTTGTTTGTTCTGTTTTGTGATTTAACGTTTCTGGTCTCAATTTTTCCCCTCCCTCCCAAACCCACTTTTTTCTTTATATGCATAGAGATTTTTAATTATCTGAATGAGCTAGATGAAGAGACATGGGACCTTCACCTCGAAGGCCATTCTAAGTCAGCACCAGATAACTGTGCCCCAC